AAGCCAGGACTGCTTTGCAAGCGGGACACCCCTGAGAACTGTCTGTCCGGGGTGGGGGTCAGGACCCTTTAAGCACAGCCCTCGGCTAGCCTGAGACAGCATCTCCACGCTCTAAGTCCTCCTCTGATGCCCTGCCGGAACTGATTCCGGCCATCCTTAAGCCCGGTTCAGGGTCCACTTAATGTGGACATGCTAGTTCGAATTAGCAAAACGCTAATTCAAACTAGTTTTTTAGTCTGGATCCGTTAGTTCGAATTAGCTTAGCCCTTTAAGCACAGCCCTCGGCTAGCCTGAGACAGCATCTCCACGCTCTAAGTCCTCCTCTGATGCCCTGCCGGAACTGATTCCGGCCATCCTTAAGCCCGGTTCAGGGTCCACTTAATGTGGACATGCTAGTTCGAATTAGCAAAACGCTAATTCAAACTAGTTTTTTAGTCTGGATCCGTTAGTTCGAATTAGCTTAGTTCGAATTAACTAATTCAAACTAAGTTAGTTCGAATTAACGTTGTAGTGTAGATGTACCCTCTGATGTGAGAATTCAGGCTTTTCTGACAATACTTCACTGGCCATTTTCTGGAAACTAATGAAGGATCATTCAACATGTGTTGAACCCAAGAGTTTGTATTTCCTGAACTTCAAAAAGAATTTGAAAGAGATGAGAAAAATTCAGATATAATGTAGGTAATTATAGACTACTTATAAAGTAGACATTTTCATAGTCTATAATTAGTGGTTTAATGAAGCTTTGCTACAAAGACATTGTGGATTCAATGATAACCACTCCACTAAATTATCCGCAGTATTCAAACTGTTCCACAAAAGAAAATCCAGTATTGATCTATTAAAAACACCAATTCACCCTTACACATTGAATGTAAAAAGTAAAGACAAAACCTTCTGACAAAGGAAAAGGAAAAAGGAGTTTTTCCAGATCAGATTTACTCTGTTGCCTGACCCATAGTACTTCTTCCATATTGACCCATGCCACTTCCCGCAGCTCCCACTGACTGTAAACAGTGAATCGTGGCCAATAGGAGCTGCAAGCTACTCTACCTGTGGCCATACAGGTAAATGCCACGCCAGCGGCCTACCGGGGGCTAACCCTGATTAAACTATGTCCAGCCTGCAGGCTGCCTATTGTCCATCTCTATATTACGGCAATCCTCATGTAGTTTAATTTACAATGTTTACTGGAGTCCAATTTATCTGCACAGGATAGGTTTCATGAAAATGAATATGAAGGGAAATGCTCAAAGAACGAATAAACGAGTCATAAAATGCAAGCTTGGAATGTATAATGACTACTGCAATTTGGAAAAGGGCTGATTGAAATAATTTTGCTCCCAGCTCCAAAATTACCCCTCAGATTTCTATCTGCATGCTGGGCAATGCTTTCTGGATTCTTGGACTCTTCATTTCAGAGAGTTTTTGGTTTCTTTGACTGCTTAAGAGTTAACACGGCTCACACAGAAAGGCATGGGTGTAACCCTAACCCTAACCCTAACCCTAACCCTAACCCTAGCCCTTCCCAGACCGCCAGCCATGGCCTCACCCACACTCCACCCCCAGAACGCCTGCTGTAGCCATTCTGGGGGCAGAGTGTTGCTGCTCCCAGTGCCCGCCCTATGCTCCGGGATGGGGGCAGGAGGCTGTAGATGCTTGGCCTCCTCCCTCCCCAGTGCTTTGGAGACTGGGGAGGCAGAGGCTGTGCACTCTCCTCCCTCCTGGTGCTCTGGGGACCAAGGCGGCATGGACTATGCGTGTTTACTCTCTCCCCTTTTGTTCTCCTCCCTCTGGTGGAGGGGGAACGCATGGTTGGTGTTCTGCCTCATCTCCTCCTCTCACTGTGGTGGGGGGCTGGCCTCAGCAGAGGGGGCAGGGCTCTAGGTGGGGCTGGGAGTCCTGCCTCCCCCAGCTACAGCTGCACCGACTGCCCATACAAAAAGGCTAGCATAATGCCTGACACTGACCAATAATATGGCAAGTTTGCTTCTTTGTTGGCCAATATACTGCCATTTTCAACTGCAAACTGCTTGATGTAGGGATTTTTTCTGTAAAGTGTAAACCAGCAAACAGGGTTTGCACTCTGCAAATACTAGACTACTACCAGTTCATGGAGTTTCTTTATAAATATACACTAGATTGCTATCTCTGTTTTAAAACAAAACTGTTACCTTCACAGTGACTATAAAGTGTATCACACATGCTGTTATTGAAATGGTATGTACCGCTGCATTTGCAAATTATCATTACTAATCATTTCTACTAGGACAGGTAAGAACCGGAAAAGGTTACCAAGCGAGGTTATGAAATCCCTGTCACTGAAGGTTTTTAAGAGCAAGGCAGAGAAACACCAGTCCGAGATTATCTAGGTATATTTGTCCTGTATCACAACTGGGATATGGCTTTGATGACTGATTTCTTCCAGCCCTACCTTTCTAGTACAGTATGATTACTTGTACTATTTGTCAATCTATTTCTATATGCTTATTAAGGAAAACTGTTATAAGTTATAATATAAGAATTCAGTTTGCTAAAAACATTTTACCTGGTGTTTTGTCACATCCAGTACAAACCAACGGGGTTTCCAACCTTTTAACAAAGCTCCTCTTTTGTAAAGTGTACCTTCAAAAGACCTTGAACAGAAGATTATGCATATTACCAAAAAGGTTTAGTACTAGCATTTTGATTTCATAGCCTCAGTACTATGGAGAAATAAGGCATAGAATTGTCTGAAACTATACAGGAATCACCTAACTACAGTATTATAAATCAATGTTAAACACTTAAAACGTGTATTGCTCGGAGCTGCAGGCCCACTGATCAGCAGAGTAATTTCCCACTGTGTCCAGGTACTGAAATAGACTTAAAGATACCATGGTTGCCTCACATCAAAGGCTTTGTTTTGCTTTTCTGTATTAACAGTAACATTATTCTGACTCTGCACATTACAGATTATATTTTCTTAGTGGCCAAAAGCTAAACTATTCAATAACTGTCTAGGTATGGTCCAGACATGCCTGGACTTGCATTCTCCAAATACATGGACTAAGAGTATAAAACAAAACACAGAGACCCATCTTGGCTTTTTCTCCTCCCTTACGTGTGTTGCAAACAACAAGGATGCTCAGAAAACCAAAGACTCCAACAGAGGAGACTAGTCCAGATTTCAAGGGTGAAAGCTGTGTACCATAAGCTGCAATATCTAGTGAGGTGAGAAAAAATGCTTAATCTAGTTGTGGCCCAATCTAATAGGGTTGAGAGTTTCGACTGTGTGCTTATATTTTCTTTTCTTCTGACGAGCACTCTGACTTTTGCCTATCCACTTATAGTAACTTAAAATCTACCTTGTGTAGTCAATAAACTTGTTTTATTGTTTATCTTTACCAGTGAGTTTTCCTGAAGTGTTTGGTTAATTTGCTTAGGTTTATAAAGGCTGTTGTGTATCCACTTTCCCTTGATGAATTGGTGAACCAATTAATAACGTGCAAAATGTATACAGGCAGTCTCCGACTTACGTGGATCCGACTTATGTCGGATCCCTACATACGAACGGGGCTTTTCTTGCCCCGGAGGAGGGGGGGGCGGGACCGCCCAGATGCACTGCGGTCCCGCCACCCGCGTCCTCCGCGGCGAGAAAAGCTGCTCCGTGTCTCCCTGGTCTGCTGGGGGGGGGGGCAGCTAGTGCGCCCTCCCCACCCCCCACAGGAGACCAGGCTTTTCTCACCGCGGAGGACGCGGGCGGTCCTGCTGCCCGCATCCTCCGTGGCAAGAAAAGCCGCTCCTCATCTCCCT